AGGSAATAAAACACATAAAACACTTCATAAAGTTCAAAAGCTGATGATAAATATAATAAAGAGTAACTATTATTATCCTTATTATCATTTTTTGCTAGACATAGTTTTGTAAGTCTATATATATATTTGTAAATCTATATATATCAAAAATCTAAAGAAAGAGAAGAGTAACTGATTTTGCATGAGAGAGGTTAGGTAGCCTTCAATGAGGAGCTGGCAGTGAAGAGAAGTGTTGAAAAATGAGCAGGATTTCAATAAATGGGAAGAGAAAGGAGCTTTGAGGGTAAGGAATGAATTTAGTATAGAGCATGTTGACTTTGAGATCTTTACAGACGGCTGGCAAAATTGGTCTGGACTCACTAAAAAGGTTGAAAGTAGATTTGGTTGTTTACTACTAAACCAATAATACTGAGAAGTAAGACCACAGGAATAGAATGAAATGCCACAGTAAAAAATCTGTAGACTGGGAAGAGGTGAGAAGCAGGAGCATTTAAAGAGGAACAGAGGAAAGCCTTCAAAGGCAGAGAAACACCATGTACAGATCTAGAAAGCAAGCAGGTTTGGAGAAGACTGGCTTATTTAAACAGATATCAAAATGGAGCCTGAACTCCAATAGAGGACAGAGAAAAATCACTCAAATTTAATCTGAAGGCCAATGTGGACCAATGTGCAGTCTTCGRAGTCAAGACACACCTGGATTCCAATTGCCCCTTTCACGCTTACTATCTGTCCAAATCTTACACAAGATACTTTCCCTGGTAATCACATGTTTCCAMGTCTGTAAAATGAAAATTCTAGGATCTTTGTCATAAGACTGTTGTGAGCTTAAAATGGACTAATGCTTGTGAAGCATTTAGGAAATTGTCTGGATAATGACACACCCGTTTGTTCACCTGGGAAAATAGAAATCAGTCACTGCAAATTTAATAGTAGGGAAAATAATAGAAAAATCATCAAATTACTTTCCATCACTCAGAGGAGACCTAGATATTGTATAACAATTCAAGTTGGATTTCTGAACAAACAAATAATGTCAATGTCAGACCAATTTAATTTTCTTTCTTTGAAGAATATTAGACTGTGTAGGTAACAGAAAACTAAGAGAGCGAATACAACTGAATGAGCTGAGCTTTTTGTCTGTCTCCGTGACATTTCTATGACAGGGCTGAAAGAAATTGTTTGGACCAGCATGTCCCCAAAAGAGTGTTTTATAGAAAGTCATTAAGTGTTCCATGAAGCAAATAAGTTTGGGAAGGAGTGGGTAGAAGAGGTTACTTTACTGTAGGACTTCTCAAATGTATTTAATAAGGAAATGTGACTATGCAAGCATTAGGATAGAGCACAGCACTTTCTAAAACTTATTTGGACATAGAATTCTTTTAAGGGTTGTAGAACACCATTCGAGAAGCAGAGGTGTAAATATTACAATGGAGCTATGATTTCTACAGGGAGATTATTAAGTTTTAAGAATTTACATGTAGACAAATATCCTGTGTTATTCCACAGGGATAAGAGTTTAAACATCGCAATTTAATGCTTCTCTCTATGAGCTAGACAATGGGAATCATGAGAATCATGATTAAGCATRGAATTGGATAGAGGTGCTACCTGTTTGGAAGATGGCAATGGAATTCAGAGGACTTTCAAAATATAATTGAATATGGAATGAAGATCAATAGAGAAAGATGTCTTTTCTACAAAACATTAAGTTATGTAGAAAAATAAGAAAAAGATTTTTATACACACATATATATCTTTTAAATAACAAGAAAACACACTAGGTGTTGAATAGAAGCACAAAGAATAAAAATAGCACCACAAAAATTATTACTCTGCGTTGGTCAAGTTTATCATCCCTCTGGTGTGTCCAACTGGGAAGGCTTTATTCTAGACTGTCGATGGTCCCCAGGTTCTTCCTCATCACTATATGCTCTGTGTTGCTATGGGATGCAGGACCTCCAAAGCCCAGAGACTCTTAAGCAAGKTACCAATCTGGGATGTCCCTGAGTGGTGGTGTAAGTGTCTTTGGAAGGAGATCTTGTAATTCCCTGCTTTAATAAAAGCATCCTACTTCTCTTGCTAAAACCCGTGGCAGTGGGCAGCACCTGACCTTCCTATCCAAAAGTTCCCTGGCTGCTTGAGATTCTGCTAAAATTTTGAGATTCTCCARCATGAGAGGCATTTCTAGGCTACTGAGAGGAAGGAAAGGGCCTGAGGTTGCAGTCCCTCTTTTCTCATTTCTTAGATTTGAAGTTTGGTATTAGGATATGACATATCCTAAGTGTCTCTCTAAGATAACTGACTCATTATGTATCAAGTAGAGCCATGTGAAAGTGGGTGTGTGTATGTGTGTGTGTGTGTGTGTGTGTGTGTGTGCACATGCATGCATGTGTGTAAGCAAAAGGCAATGTGAATGAAAAGAGAATCAAAAAGGCTCAGGAAGTCCTGTGCTTAGTGCTTGGTTTGAAGTACCATACTAATTGCAGAACTTCCAGGACAGACATGAAAGGGACATGAAAACATTATCACATGAAAAAGGAGTGAATGATGCATGATGGTTAACCAGTGAAGAAATAAACCAGAGTCAAGATAGCTCTTTAACTATTTAAGATGGGAACTCAGAGGCACTCAACATTGATGTTAAGAAAAGACTTTTGTAACAATTAAAAAACTGTCCAGCAATGGGCAAGACTGCCTTATGAAAAATATCCTAAAAATAAAGTATTTTTGAACACTTACTTTGTGACAGGTGTTATGCTAAACATATTGCATGCATTAGCTTATTCAATCCTCTCAAAATCCCTGTGAAGTAAGAACTTTTATTATCCTCACATTATGGAAGGGAAACAGGGTGTGGGAGAGGGTGGCTTATACTTTTTCAAGGTCATACAGCTAGTAAATGGAAGAATGGGATTTGATTCTAGAACATGTGTACCWAACTCCTAAATTTCTGACTGCCATGCCTGTGTATTTTAAACACTGTCTGATATGTCAARAGACTTCTTCCTTGCAGGACTAGACCATTTCAGATACTCTCTAAAATTGTTCATCAAATCTCTGCCATATTGGTGACTGAAATGATGAACTGAACCCTCCTGGCCACTGGGTCTGTCACTTTCCTAGTTTAACAGAGATGTAGAAAAGTTCAGAAGTCAAGAGAAGTCCAATAAAAACTAGGGGATGAATGGACAATTTGCCCTACAAGGCAAATCAAAGGAGGTTGCATTCCTTTGGCCAGGGACTGATTTGATAATCTTCACGATGCAAAGGGTTAGGTTTTATGTAAGTCATTTCCATGGAGTATATGATAAGGCATCCATTTCTGTGAGACAGCTTGGCTGAAATGAGAAGRTCTTCCCAGTGAAAATGTCTTGAAATAAACAAGTCTTTGAAGCACAGTTATGGGTATAAGGTCTTGTTAGGATAGAAGCTCATTTTTTCAATAGCAGTTGACCCCTGCTGCTTCTCTGGTGGCCTTGGCAAGTCAACCTGCCCCGAGGATGAGCCAGGGTGCTAGCAAGTATTTTTGAACTTCGTCCTCTTTCATCTGTCCCACTAAAGAATTCAGTAGACCCTGAAAATGAAATCTGAGCCATTTTTCTTTTGCGAAAGCTTTCAACTAAATTTGACAACGGTGGTGAGAGAGGTTCTCAGGTAGCCAGCCACAGRGTATTGCAATAAATAACCTTGTGAGACACCTTCCAAGTTTTCAGTCTCTGGCTCTCAACAGTTGAGTCTCCATTAATAAACTCGACTTGAAAAATCAACATTTCCGCTCAACAGAGCTTTAATGTATTAATTTTAGGAGCAAGAAGTCAGATTTTTTTTTCTTCAGTGTAGAAAGAAACGGAACACCCTTGCAAAGAGATTTTTTTTTAACCTTTTGAGGGATTTCTTTTTTCAGCTTCATAGAAAGTTTATCATAATTTCATGCCCCCACACTTCATGGCTTGTTACTTGGTCCATTAYTCTTACACTTAACTTGATAAGGTCCTGGTTCTTGTGATATTAGTTTTTAGGTTTGGCTTCTCACAGCTGCAGCTTTGAAGTGCCTGATAACATTTTTAGCCTTGCACAGAGCCAGTGGCTTTTTAGGTTCCCATTCTCCTGTGCTCATTGTCCTGCTGTTCTCTTTACTTCTCACTGCATGGGTATATACTAACCTCGCCCTTTCTCTGCTTTTGAAAGCAAGCTAACCTTGGGCTTTTGCAGGTGATTAATCGTTCCATCCATGGAATTTGGCAAATTATTTGGGAAATAWTCGCTTTTCTCCTTGAGCCTGTCAGAGTCTGATCTCCTTCAGATGGTTATTCAGGGATTTCGTATAAACATATGAGTGGCGCTGGGGCATCTCACACAGCTCCTGGGAGCACAGATAATACCTGTGCCTTTTCACACACACAAGAAAGCCCCTTGGTACCCAGAGGCCCTACAGTCATGCTTTTTATCTAGAAGCAGTCTCTCCCCATAACATCTGTGGTGGTCCCGGCTCAACTGCTGGAGCTTGGGAGAAGCCAGTTATTCCACTGAGAAGTGTTAGAATCTAGCTGAAATTAGATAGGAAAATGCTTCTGGAAAAAGCATATCTTGGGTTACCAGGGTGGGCAATGGGTTTGTAAATACCCCCCAAAATTTCTGAAAGTATTTATGGTCAGTTAGGATTGAGAGTTTTCAAGACTTTTGCTATTTCAAGAGGAAATTAACTTGGAGAAGGAGAAAAATCACCTATTGTTTGATCCACTTGGAAACTATTGTTTCTGTAATTTTTAAGAAGCATTTCCCAGAACAGTTCATGGGAAGGTAGAAGACTGATTTTAACAGGTGATCAGAATGCTGAAACACACTAACAAAGTAGAAAATAGGGACTAAAACTTAAGCTGCATTTTGAAGAGGAGTGGGACGATGGGTTAGAGGAGTAAAATCACAATTGCAAGTGAAATTGAGAGGAACTATCAGCTCATCATGCACAGAACATTGGATTAGGGAGCAAAGCTACTCACAGGTATTTGCAGTGCCTTTGGGGATGGGGAGATACGAGCCTGGACTCCAAGGTCGGCCCTGATAATTCTTCTTGCATTTCCCACAGTCTGGACCTGTAGTGTTGTGCTCACATTCACATGTCAGTTTGCTGTTGTCATACACACACACAGTGGCATGGAGATTACACTTGCACCTAGGCAGAGAGAGACAAAGAGTTCACTGTCAGTCAGGTTGGTCTCAGTGGTCTAGCTCCTAGGGTTGTGCCTCTCAGAACGTACAGTGCTTTACTGCTACACAGAGTTCAGTAAATGTAGATTTACAGGCCCAGCCCTCAGCATCTTCAACAAGTGCCTTTGKGGGAAGGGTACTCTTATGGTGCAGACTGTTTTCATTTTATACTTTGAGGGTCTAATCCCAGTCAATTGGGGGAAGGCCTAAAGCTTTCACCAAGCTATGCTTGGAAAACAGTTGTTCCTAACAGGTCTCCAAAACATTGCCATGAGGGAGAAGGTTTTCTGTGACATTGTCAAATCTATGACAATTTTGTCTGAGTTCATCTGGTTTTAAAGAACAATATTATCTTCTCTTTTCTTCAAATCATTAGGGCAACTTTTGTTTATATAGAATAAACCATTGAAATAATTTGCCATTTCATGACTCTATAGACCCAAAAGGTTTAATCAGATGTTTTTCATTCTGGGCTCAAAATGACATTTCCTCAGATCAGAAGAGTTTTTCTACTAAGTCCTCTAACTGACCTGGGGGGAAGTGACACAGTAATCCTCAGAAACTTTCCATTCACAGCAAATAAGGTCATCACAAAGGTCTCTCAGAAACAGGCCAAATGACTCTAATAAAAGATGCTTAGAATCCTAGAAAATAAAACCCTACATGTGGCACAGGTTTGAAGTCATTAGTGAAGGCTTTGCCTTTGTTGTCTCTGAATAAAGCTGTGATATATGAGAGGCAACAATGGTATATGCAATTTCCACAAAAGATGCATTCCCATATTTGAAGTCTTTGACTATAAAATTGCAAAGGCCAACTTGATATTTGTTGAGGCAGCAGGTTATAAATTTTATCCCAAGAAGCATGGGGCCTCATCCTCTGGAAAGGTGAAACCTAAGTTGACAGAATGACCATGACCACAGGTCAGAGTAATGTATGTCAGAAGAGATGTGTCCACACAGAGAGAGCCTGGGCACTCAGACAAAATGATTAAATACCAAGACGGACCAGAATCAGAACTTGAAATTGAAATGGTGTGTGTGTGTGTGTGTGTGTGTGTGTGTGTGAGAGAGAGAGAGAGAGAGAGAGAGAGAGAGAGAGAGAGAGAGAGAGAGAATATGAGCCTCCTTCTTCTAGGAATAAGAACAAAAATATAGAAATTCAAGTTTCATAATGATGAAGAAATACAGTAACATTTATGTTTTTCTTTATGAGCAGATGCTGTAAACCAGGAAATGTAATAGAATATTCTTTCTCAGGTAGGGAAATGAAATTCCTAAGCAACTGATACTCGTTTCTATAATGTCTGTATAGCAATGGCTGAGTTTTGCCTCTGATGAACTGTTTGAAACACTGACCTATACTTATGGTAAGGAAGAGAAGGAATGGCTAAGACTATTGCAAAGAGCTGCTGGGCTCCTGCCTTTTGAGAAGTTGTAGCTCTGAAAGCAGCACCCATCTGCTCAGATCTTTTGGGAAGACCAAGCTTCCTTAAGATCTGCTACAATTTTTAATAGTTCTAGCTACCCTCTGCCCTCTGCATACTTGTGATCTGCAATAAACGGGAAGGTTGCCACTTAAACAATGCCTATTTAAATAACTTAGATATATAAACAGCACCTTTGAAGATTAACATTTCCACAGTTTTTTAGAAAGACAGGAGAAAAACAATTCAGTTAAATAGACAGTGTTTAATTATGAGCTGGGTCCTATAATAATCTCCTACAGACACGCAGACACTTGTGCCACTTTGTTTATTAAAGGATCTTTCTCCTTCCCAACATTAGCACCTTTATTTATGGGTGTGTTTATGAATATGGAGGATGTTTTTAACCTAAGTGATAGAAGCACCAGCTGATACTGCCTTAGCACCCTGTCTGGTGTTAAAAATTCCAAATGAGGAAATGAACAATGTGACCCCAAAGAATATGCTGGTTTCATGTGTGAAGAAGACCAAGAATGATACTAGAAATTGTCAATTGGGTTACATATCTTATAACCATTCATGGTTTCATGCCTGTAGCTACTCTCTGAGTGACAGTCAATTTCCATTCTAAAGACATGATACTAACTGAGAAAATATTATTTGAATAACAGAAGGTGAAAGGGGAATGGATACTGTTAATATTATTTTTCTCAGATTTCTTCCAATGAGTCACCCATTCTCACCTGTCTGAAAGCTTCTGTAAGCTTATTACTCATTCAGACYGCTATCCATTCAATTTATAAGCCTTCTTTCTTTMTTTATTTTTTTGTTGGTGTTTTTTGTTTTTGAGCTGGTGAAGATATCTCTTTAAATTGCCTAAATTGGCTCAGATTTGTGATCCTCCTGCCTCAGCCTTCTGAGTGGATGGGATTATAGATGTGCATCACCTTTCTCCATTTACCGTTCCTTAAAATGTTTTCTGACCACTGTAGATACCCAGAGCTTTACACTTTTGATTTTGTTAATTACTTCTGTGTGTTTGGTTTGGTTAATTGTTACCTTGTTATTTGTTGTCTCTTTGTGCTTTTGGATTATTATTATTATTATCATTATTTTGCTCATTGCACAGCTTCACCCATCTTATAGGGAAGGTATATGAAAATGCACCTTGTGCCTAGTCTTCTATGGGTCCTTCCTTAATACCTCCTCTCCCCTCTTGAGTTTCCTACCTTTGCCATCTTCATTTTCTCATCTCTATCTCACTCTGTTCAACTGACCTCAGCTCATTGTCAAGAGCACCCATGTTGACAATCCAGTGCACACTTTTCCTTTTGGTATTTGATGCCAGTGTAACTGACTCTGGACCACTTCCTTTCCCCCTGATGCTTTTTCACTAGACACTCCAGCTCATTTCAAGGATCCCTTCTGCCTGCCCTCTGCCCGTGTTGTTCTTTGGGTTCTGGCCCAACACTGCCAGCTCACTCTGCTTGGGCACTCTTTCCTAGGTTGTCCCTTCCTTTTCCTTTTGTGGTTCTCATTTTCCTTTGAGTTATAGACTTTTTCAAAGCAGTTTGTATCCTCCTCCTCCGTAACTCTCAAGTAAAAATATAGAATAAATTCAAGCACTGGAAAACATTTTAAAAGATTCAGAGATTCTCTGTTTCCTGTAGGGAATAAAGAACACTCTTCTCTTATCCCCAGGTAAAGAATATCTAAATATTGCATCTGTATCTGTATCACTGGTCTCTCTCCTAGATTTCAGATTTATTGATCAAAATGCCTCCTGGAGTCAGGTGTAGTGACTCCAGCTACAGGGAAGGCTGAGTCGGGAGGATCACAAGTTTTAGGCTAGACTGGGCAACTTAGTGGGACTTTGTCTCAAAATAAAATAATAAGAGTTGGGAGTTTAGCTCAGAGGTAGAGCACTAGTACATGAAAAGCATTGCATTTAGTCCCCAGTGGAAAAACAAAAAACAAAAACAAGCCCTCTGGACAACATGAACTCTGGCTCCCCCTACCTCCTCCTCCTCTTCCTTCTCCTCCTCTTCCTCCTCCTGTGTTTTTAGTCTCAGGAAATTTTGTCTCAATAAGTGGTTTCACATTCTACTCAGTTTGCCAAGAATGACTCCTCCCTCTCCCTTTAAAATACATCTGACCTGTAAATGCTCAATCTCTCCCCAAGTCCTGAGCTTTCCATTCTTAGGAAATTTGTTCTTTCAATTTCCATTGACTTGATCAGGATCATAATGGTGTGGGTCCTGGTCTATCCCAAYAGCTTCTAAACAGAAGTCAGTACTCCAGTCACACTCCTCTCTAGCCAATCTCAACACAATAATCAAACCAGTCTTTTACCCAGATGTATTTGGGTCACCCTGCCTTAGAACTACAGTTCCATTTCCTATCATCCTAGGGGTAGAGTCTATGCTCTGTGTCATGGCTCCCAAGCCCCTCCTCCAGCTTCCTGGTACGACTCCTAACTCTACATTAACTTCATTGACTAACTCTACATTGCCTTCTAGTAATCTTATAAGCTATTTCTTTTGTCTAAACCATTCTCCTTGCCTACCCCAACCTCTTTTTTTTTACTTGGATAACTCTTTCTATTAGATATTAACTTGGTTATCTCAGGGCCTGACTCCTAGTTGATATTTATAAAAACAACCTGCCAGGTTGGGGTTCAGTGGTAGAGTGCTTGTGTAGCATGTACAAGGCACTGGGTTTGATCCCTAGGATAGCAGAACAATAAGTAAATAAAAATAGATCTGTCTATCAACTATCTGAATACTTTCCAGCCTTCTAGGATGCTTTTCTGGTGTGCTTCCATGACACTTGGCAAAGCTATTTGTATAATGAAGCCCATGATACCTCGGCTACAGATATGGGCTGTGTTTTGATGGCTGATTTTTCCATTAACCTCACTAGAGCATAAGCTTCTGGGAGGCAGCAGTCATATCTGCCTTGTTTATTGCAAAATCCTTAATATGTATCAAGGTGCTTGACACTTAGTAGGTGCTCAAAAAATATCTGGTGATTAAACAAATGAATAATAAACAAGTAAACTCCCTGAGAGTAGGAACTCCATTTGCATGTGCTACCATTTCTAGTATGGCAGTGGGTTGATAATAGAGAATTCATGGGCATTATACCAAGTCAAGCTCTCCAAGATGTATATTCAAAACGGCCACATGCCCTCATTACTATTTTTCATTATTAATTTCATATTGGGCAAAGAGAATTCTATAACATTGGTGAGAGCTGGTAAACCCAATTTATTTTATACTCTAGAGAATTCACCAAATGACGGAAACTGAACATAAGAGCTACTCTAAAACAATCCCTGAAGACCCAGGAAGAGAACACAGCTCAAGAGAGAAAAATAAAGAATTTGTTTAGCWCAATTATTTGGTGATGTGTGTATACTTTAGCTTCAACTCCTTATGCAAGGATGGTCACCTTGGTTTAGTTGATGTTTAGGGGAGCACTGTTTGGACACTGGCTAAAACTTTAACTTTCCCAGCAGGAAGCCTGCTGACCTAGACCAGCTTTGGGGTTATTTTTTCCTGAACTCACTATGACAATAATGTGCTGGGACAAAACATTGCCAGTGAGAGCTGAGGCACCATGACACTGGCTGATGTTTGGAAAGAGTTTGCTTTCATTTTCCACAGCTCAGTTTATTCTTATCACTCCTGTTCCAATCAGAAGCTAAAGTCCTTTATTGAGAGTCCTTGCCATAGTGGCTTTTCCTGCAAAGGAAAGAAATGACTCTCACAGTGCTGGGAGATTGCTCTCAATTCCTGGAGTTGTGACCTTCGGCCTTGTGATGGGTGGAGGGCAGGTTTCTTTGACAGCCCACTTGTCTCTGACAGATTCATTATCCATTTCCATGGCCATCCAATGCCCAGATCCACTGTCACAGTAGCAGGAGAGGTAAAGTACAAGTGGAGACCTAAAAGCCTGTCACTATCCGATGTTCTGGAGAGCCAAGCCTAGTCAACAGTTCTGTTGATACACAGGAACCTCACACTAAGACACTGCAGACGGCATGAACTGATTTGCATGTACCTTGAAGATCTGCTTGTGAGGAAGTGAAAAATGACTGACACTGTCAAATAAGGGCCTCACTAAGATAGATTAAAGAAAGAGTGAGCTCTATCCTGTGATGCAAACTTAATGAACACCAGTGTGTTCTTGCTTTCAAACAGGTCTGTACTTCCTGTATTTTAGTGACCAGCTGTCATGAGTCAATTTAATCTTGCTTATAAAAAGGCTCCAACATTTAGTTCTGTGCCACCTGCCAGTAGGTATGAAAAACCCATGCAGTCTGCCTGGTTTTTCTTTATAACTTAATATATCTATTCTAGGAAGCATGTTATCCGCCAGAATTTCCTGCCAGTTAGAGGTCTGTATAGTCTATTACTAATGCCTCAAATAGAGGTTCTGAGACAAGAAAAAACTGGCTCTTTGAGAAGCAAAACAGGAAGGGAGGCCAGGTGTGCTGATGTGTAGGACAGGCTTGTGGCTACCTTTGCTCCAGGGAAGTCTTCACTATGGAGCGAATGAAGTTTGAGCTTCAGGGCTCTTTCAGGGCCCAGAGGAAGGCCCCAGCACTGTGTTCATTTGGCCATATTCTTTCTACAACTGGCACAGAGAAGATATTCATTATTTATTTATATTAATGGGCGACATTCCYATTGCATGGAGCACCACTCCCTCTCTCCCACCACCATGGAAAGGCTTCTTTCAGACACTACCTGGTTCTATCCCTGCTGCACCTCTAGCCTTAGGTTGGCACTAACCTATATAAATGCTTTTAGAAAAAGTGTTAGCACCAACACCGAAGCTCTGGAAATTTATTTTTTTAAAGGTGATCAATTATACAATGCCTCCTGATATTTGCACCCTTAACTTTTTTCTTTACACTGATGCATGAATTTCTGGCTCCTACCTCAACACATTGTTTGCAATGGAGATTTGCAGCAATATAACTTAGAGATTATGAGTTGCAATGCTGAAACTGGGCAGTCTGAATTCAAACTCTGCCTTTGCCACTTACTGTGATGAGTAATTTTAACAAATGAACAGCCAAACWGAGCTAACACTGACTAAGCACTTCCAACACCTGACCTTGTGCTAGAGCCTTCTGCATGTTCTGTASATTATTTTATATGAAGCTCACAGTGATCCCATGAGATTTATATTAATGATTACATATGGTGTGTTTGAATATTAGGGGGTYATAAAAATCCAAGAACAAGATGGAACAGTGGTTGTGACCATGGGCAATCTGCCTCCAGAGCTCTGCTCTCATCTTCACAGAGGGCAGGATGTCTTTTTAAGTATGGCTAAGGCTTAGTCACTTCATCTGCTAATCAGGGACAACAAATGCCCATGTGTCAAAGAAGTGAACAAAATTATGCACATAAGCCTTTAGAACAACAGCTGACACAAAGTTCTGAATAAATGTTCTTTCCATTATTTCTTTAATTACTGCAGCTAGTACTACTGACTGGACTGATTCATGTTTCAGATATTAGTTAAAGATAATCTATGGAGAGAAGCTTTAGAGGTTCCATAGGGATTCAAAAACAGAATAAAATACAGAATTCTGAGAACATGAAATCTGTTAAATAGGTAAGAAGACAACTATAGATATCTACAGATCATAAACAGGGAAGTACTTTCTATAACTAATCATGACAATATTGGGAAGGGGTAATAACACTTGTCTATACTGATGAGGATGCTTTGCCCTAAACCATCAGAGAGGCAGACTCTACCATTGAAGGCAAGTAGAAGAAATAAAACTGCTATGGTTTGGATAACTGTCCTTCAAAAGTCCCCAGGGTGACACTATTGGGAGGTGGTAGAACATTTAAGAGAKGGGGYCCAGTGGGAGGGACTTAGTTCATTGAGGGCTTACCCCAAAGATTTTGGGACCCTGGCCCTCTCTTTCTCTTTTGCTTCCTGGTCATGATGTGAATGGTATTGCTCTTGCTTTGCTCCCACCACCACACTTTGCCTCATTAGGAGCCCAAAGCAATTGTACACTTGATTAAAGGTAGAAACTCCAAAACTGTAAGCTAAATTAACCTTTTTATCTTGTAATTTAACTACTTCAGTTATTTCATTATAATGATGGAAAGCTGACTAATACAACAGGCAACACTATGAAGGCCAACTTTGTACCTGGAACTGTAACAGATACTTTATGTACATTATTATAACTCAGGGGTGTAGTGAGCCCTGGCTTTCAGGCAATGTCCAATGAAGCTAGGGGAAGGTGGGTCAGCGAGGTGGTGT